AGTATCGGAATAAATGCAAAATGAATGGATATAAGTGTAGACCGAAACACCACACCCTAACTAAACCCTAACTAAACGCTAAACGTCTAAAAGCCTTCAAAAATAGAGCAAAAGGGAGAGTTAAACAAATGTAAAGTCTTCTAAGATATGGTATCTTAACTGTGGTTTTGCAGCGAATGCGAGGAAAATGTTTAAAATAAACAAATAATTCTTTATTTAACTTTTTATAACACAATCCAATTGCCTATCGTTTAAGTTATTCTCTGTTAAATGAAAGATTTTAAAGCTTTCAGTAATAGTTTTATTATTACACTTATTATAGTTTTATTTAACAAATTATTATTAAAAAACATTCTACTATTCTTCAAAAACAATTTTATTAATTGTGATTAATTTTATTCATATTTTAAATTTAAATATCATTGTCCAATGAATTAATGTCAGATTTAATAAAAGTGATAACAAGTGCTACAAATGAAGTAGTGTAACAAAATTGTGTAGAATATCATATGAAATCATTATTATTGTATTCATTCAATAAGTAATTCAATCTTTAATAATAAAGAATAAACAGTAGAGAATAGACTATAAGCAAAGTTAATGGACACAAGTTATGGCAAAGTTTTGAAATGTATTTGTTGTAGTTTTTGTATAAAATAAGATTTTAGAATATTTTCACAACACTTTTCTTCTAAAGTTTTACAATTGTAACAACGATAAAATCTATTTGGTGCAATGGCTTTACATTGAATTGATATTAGCCATTTCCCATTTTAAAAAATATATATTCCCAAAAAATAGTTTTGCGCCGGAAAATTCTTTATATTCCTTAAAATTGGAAAAATAAGACAAATAAATTACATTGAATGCACACCTTTGCAAACCTTCAAAATACAATATAACCCCGTTGGCAAAGTTGTAAAAATGCGGAATTTGCTTGTTTGTCTATTAAACATTGTCTATATTTTAGACTATAAGCTAACTATTTGTAATTACTGTATTGCCAATAAGTTTGGAATTGGATTAGTTGTTGAAGTGTTACACATTTTCAATATAATAGACAAATATTTTCATATTCTGTTAAAACTAAAATTATTTTATGATAAAATCTCAACATATTTTTTTAATTAAACATAAAAACTGTGAATAAAGTGAATAAATATTAGTACTATAAATAGTAATAATAAAAATATTTGCAAACGAAGCCATTTATTAGCTTCCATTCGGGAAAATAATAATAAAAATTAAAACATTAAGAAATGGATGTATTTATTATGTCTAATTCTAGAATAATAATATTTAGAAAAATAGAGACAAGAAGTATTTAAATATTACAGTTATTATAAAAATTAGTGAACATTTTAATAATTTTTGTGGTTATTTTGGCAATTTTGAATATGTTTGAAAATAATTAATATTATACAAATGCAATGTTGTTTTGTTATAAATTTCAAAAGTTAATTACTATAATATATTTGCATTGAACTATCAATTTCACCAAACACTTACTTCATTTTTAGCCGCAGATAACACGTAATCAAAATAATTTCCTCAAAATATAACTTTTTTTTATCACATTTTATGAATCGAAGGAATATAACTGTAATGTTGTAAAGTTTAAGTCTTTTATAATTACGGAAGTGTTTACAGTATATTAAATCTCTTATAATATCAATACTATCACTCGTATTTTTAAAATTGTTAGTAATATTAAAATTACAATTACATTGCATATTATTTCCAAAATTGTGGTTTACATATCACTTGGTTTGCAAACTTATATTGTACAATTTGTACCGGTAATAATAATTATAAAATAAAATAAGTATAAAATAAAATTATAAATAGATATTTATTAAATTAAAATCTTAATAAATTCATTATAAAACATAAATATAATATATTATATTACAAATCATTATTAGAGTAACGAATCATTTTTATTGGAAAATTTTCAGTAATCAAGTGATTGTTCTCCAGTATAATAACGACATTCACTTCAAATTCTACAGCAAAATAAGTCAATTATTAATTGCAAAATAATTACTACATTATAATAATGGTTGGTTTTGTACCGATTTTAAAGTTATTAGTTGTGAGCGAAGGACATGTGAATAGTCGGGGAAATATCATATAAATAGGGATAACAACCCCTCGACACACATTTCCCTCTCCTATTTGGATGTTTTGAATTTCAGTCGCTATACATTTCAAATGCAATTAAAGTAATCAAAACATAATGTAATCAAAGTTTGGTTGAATGCTAACCGTCGCGGGCGTATCCTTCAGCACATCCACAGGTCTCGACGCGGACTAACTGTAATTCAATGCTTCGGATGACGGCATCGCACTGTTCCACACATAGCTCTCCAGTGAACGGTTCCGTTATTTTACAGACCGTTGAATCCAAGTGACCGCTTATACGGAATCGAGGAATCTTTGATCTCTAGTCATTATATCAAACAAATGGTCAATTAAGCAATCATTTCAATCCACAATCATATCATTAGTATTACATCTTTCACATTCTGAAGCGATTCCGGTGTAATTAAAAAGTTCACCGCCTTATCCATCGACGGCTGTATTTCCAATGGTTTTCGGTATTCAACAATAAATTCAACCACTTTTTGGAGATCTTTATTAAGCATCGGTCGCTTGATTTCGCATTTGATTAAGTACTGAATGGTTCACACAATTGAGACACTCGTCACTCAAATTGGTGTTCAATTGAATAAAGTGCTGAAACAATACCTGAATAGTGATAAACACGCCGTGATATGTCTCGTAAAGACATCGGTTGGTCTTCGGCCGCACCGGCAGTTCAAACGGGATCTCAGTCTTACCGGCGGGTAATTTACCACTTTTTGCGATCTCAACGCTGTAACTGATGAGCGGTACGGGCTATCAATCAAATGTACATATCATGTAATTAAATGTGACACAAATGTGATGGAAGTGATCAATACCTTAACCGAGTTATAAAAAGCTTCAAAAATGCCCACATTTTTAGAGCTCAACTGCATATTGACATTGCCTTCAATGGCCAATACTATGCCCTCGTGTCGGGCCTCAGACCGCGACTCAAACACCACGACTCCCGTCAACAGATCCTATCATTACAAGTGTTAACACATTTAGTTGTGTTTGCGGATCAATTGTGGTGATGGCCAACACATGCCCACCAATACTTACGCCTTCGCTGTACAGTTTGTTCACTCGTTTGAGTCTTATATCCAAAGACATGATTGACTAAAACTTTGCAAAACTTTTACTCCTATTTAAACACAACAATCAAAACAATACAACAAATCTGTATTCATTCACTCCCTATAACACACCAAACATATATAATGTTACCATTTTTAAGCGATATAACAGCGTTTATTGTTGGCCAATATAAGGGGGCAGTTGTGTGTTGGCCCCTATTGTAACGCTATATATGAATGGTGTGTGTGTTTTGTTGATAAGATAGTGAGAGTGAAGTGTTTTGTGACATATCTTTCACTGCAATTGCAATCAAAATGTTTGCTTTAAATGCCATTTAATTGATGTTTAATTTGTATTGAATTTTACTTTGATTTCTCAAATAATTAGTTAATGAATGCAAGCGTTTAAACATTGGTTTGATTTATAACTAAAATTGATTAATAATTAATTGTTGTTTTATTTATTTTATTTGTTTTTAGTTTTGAGTTTTAATTGAAAATTTGATAATTAATAGCGATTTCTATGCGAAATGTGTGAAAATTAGTATAAATAATACAATTAATGATTGAATAGTTGTTTATTGTGTCATAATTATGGATACGAGTCCTTCAGTGACCGGATCTCAAGTGTTGGTGTCGTCGGCGAAGAAGCGGATCAGTCCGACGGTTACGATAAACCCGTCGTCAAGCGATGGCCAGCCGTCGGCCAGTGGTGTGGCGTTGAGTGCGTCCACTAGTGGTCACACTTTGGGTCACAACACGACCACTAACTCAGAGCTGACGGCACTCTTTGAATGTCCCGTTTGTTTTGATTATGTCTTACCGCCGATACTTCAGTGTCAAAACGGACACCTCGTCTGCCAGTCCTGCCGCCAGAAGATTACCTGTTGTCCCACTTGTCGAGTGGCCATCGGTTCCAACATTCGGAACCTCCCGATGGAGAAGTTGGCGTCAACTATGATGTTTCCCTGCAAGTACTCACAGTCCGGATGTGCCGCTCAACTCCTCTACACCGACAAACCCGATCACGAAGACTCCTGTGAATACAAGCCCTACTCCTGTCCCTGTCCTGGTATGTATCACATCTACAACTACGAGCCATATGTCCCATATCTGCCATATATGCCATATATGCTAATCCAGACAATGCTATTTGTTAACCAATTCTTATATTATGTGCACATTTTAAGTGTAATTTGAATGATATTATTGTTTGAAAGACTTAATACCAATAGTGTGTTGATTGCCGTAAATGATATGAAAGGCCTTAAAAATGCTTGCATTAAACGCAGACTTACAGTGATTTACATAAGAGATAGCTTTCACTAAAAGCGATGAGTCTTTTGGCCCACATTTTCATATTAGTGTTAATGTTATGCAATAGTTAAGCCGTTAATGAGTACAAGAGTGTAACGATTATATGATTGATTGCACTGATAATAGGGAGCAGTTGTAAATGGTATGGACCGCTGGAACAAGTGATGAACCATTTGATGCTTCAGCACAAGAGCATAACGACACTCCAGGGCGAGGATATCGTGTTTTTGGCCACTGATATAAACCTGTCGGGAGCTGTGGATTGGGTGATGATTCAGTCGTGTTATTCGCATCACTTTATGCTAGTATTGGAAAAACAGGAGAAATTTCACGGACACCAGCAGTTCTTCGCTGTCGTACAACTGATTGGTTCCCACAAACAGGCGGACAGTTTCATATACAGACTCGAACTCAATGGACACCGAAGGCGACTCACATGGGAGGCCACCCCTCGGTCTATCCATGAGGGCGTTCAGAGTGCTATCAACACAAGCGATTGTCTCGTCTTCGATACACATATCGCACAACTGTTTGCAGACAACGGAAACCTCGGAATTAATGTCACCATTTCTCCCGTTTAGTGTATATACAGTGTATCTATGTTTCGCAAACTACAAATCAATTTTAACCAATCGCTAAATAATATGAATATAAATATGATTTTCATTTCCTAAACAGTGTATAAAATTTATATTAATACTAATGTATACTCTTATCAATACTTGAGTTACAGATGATTATAAATTGAGTCAAACATTTTTTAGTTATAATTCCAGCGAATGTTTTATTTGTAACAAATTAACAAAATGAATAATTAATTGCTTTTAACTGTCAATCTATTATTTATTCAAACATTAAAACAAATCATAAGTTCAAAAGTAATTCACTTTTGATTGTTTTTAAAAATATAATTTCAATCGTTTTTAATATTTTGCGGCAAATAATATACATTTGGTTTGAATTATATATTCACAAAACTGTTAGAGAAAATAGAGATTAAATGAACATCAAATGGTATATAGCATTCAAATGACAGAACTTATGGCAGTAATTATATGCAACTGATTTGAAACAATGTCTGGAATATTGTTTACTCCGCTCTCCGTTTGGTTTTGTTTCATATTCTTGTCCTTCTGAAGGCCGCCAAACATTATGATCTCCGCTCTGCCGGCGACCAAACTATACAAAATCACTTCTTCGGGGCCATCGTTTAGAAAGTGATTTTTATGGATCCATTTGACCACATTCTTCTCGATCACATCACTCAAGTCGAGTACAAACAACTGCATTGGATTCTGAGCCGACTCTCTGTCTGACTTAACGGTTCCACTCCTGACCGCAAGAGGAGAGAACGTATGGGACTTGAGTTGTCGTATTCGTTGTTCCATTCGGTCGAGTCCTTCGAGTTGTCTTTGTCTGTTCCGACGACTCAATGGACGCAAACTTGTGTTACCATTGGTTTGCGACTGTTGTGATGTAGAGGCAGAAGATGTGGATGCGATCGACACTGCATTTGATTGGGACTCCAATTTCACATTCAATGAACTCTTATTGTTGGAGTCATTAGTGTTGACGTATTGACTGCGAACCGAAGGCTTTCGCAATATATTGCCGTCTTTGCACTGAAAGGGCCGTACCTTTTGGCTCAACACAACCAATAAGTTTTCAACCTTTAGATAGAGATTCATATTTATAGATGAATTGAATTAAAAGCAGACAATCGGTACTCACTTTACACGTGGGATGAAAACTAATTTGTGGTATATTTGACGAGTCTTTGTTCAACACTTCAATTGGTTTCCACAACATTTGTTTGGTGTCCTCTGAAATGCAAAGCATCCAAATGTCGCTAAACAGCATATTAGGACCGCCGGATCCGCCGATTATTAGTATATGCCTGTCATCGATGACAACCTGCGAGTGTCCATATCTGGGAAGTGGTTTGGGATTAGAAGTGATTTGTTTGCGCCAAACAAAGCTCTTTAAATCCAAAACCCAAATGTCGTTATTACTCGAGAATGGAAGCGGATTATTGGCCTCACTTCGAAGGCCTCCGAATACTATCATATGGTGTCCGACAATACTCGCCGAATGTCCAGCGATTGCCGGACTTTCGGAATTGGGAACAATTAGACTCCATCTGTCGGCTATGGTGTCAAAGATATGGATGTGATTAAAGATTCTCCACTCTTGATGTATGGGATAGGGAGAGGAATGAGTCCATCCGCCGAAGAGCACCAAATTGTTGTTATACGCGACGAGTGAAGCGCAAGCTTTGGGTGAGGGGAAGGTTCCGGTGGCGATGGGTCTGATCCACGTTCGGGTCGACAGATCAAAGCGCCACAAGTCGTTGAAAGTGGTGTTAGCTATAGTACAGCCGCCGAACACATACATCGAGTCGTCGACACAACACGTGCTGTGAGAATATCGGGCAGAGATTGAGGGCCCGCTCTGTACCGAGTAGTGCGACCATTGGATCAATTGATTACTCAAACAATACACCAAATCTCGCTTCAGTTTCAAAATGGTTTCTGTTTAACATTCAATACATTATT